TATTTATAAAATGTTGTATTATTAAACCAAAAATAAATTATTTCGTTATTAAACTTAAATTAAATTTAAAAAATTATAATATAAAAAATAAGAACTTTTAAATAGTTGATTTGATATTAACATTGATATTATTTTTTTCCAAATTTTTATGATATCTTCAAATTTATACTTTATTCAAAAATAAAATCATTATTGTTTTCTTAAAAAACATATAAAATCGTATTATAACATTAACAGAGACAAATAATAAAATAGAACATTAAAATCGAGATATGTTTCGCTGCATTGCGCGAGTACTCTTCTAGTATTTACATACATATTTGGCCAACCATTAAATATTATCCGTAGATAAAATCATGGAGAGTTAGGATGAATGGGATATGTTGCATAATAAACCACCTCTGTATTAATTTATCATTTAACTATGATCATTTTTTTATATATTAATTAGTTTAAGTAAATCAGTTAAACTTATATATTTTATCTAACTATGATAAAATTTTAGAGTAAAATACAAATTTGGTTCGTGTTGTTTACACAAATTAACAAGCAAGGTCCCTTACAAGAATTATTAACCAAGGGTGTCCTTGTAGTTTCATTTTTATAGCGGATATGGTCCCTCTTCTAACTTTTTAGTTAAGTTTCTTTAGTGAGGGGCAATTTTGTCTCTTTACCCTCTGGACTTCCATTTTCAGTAACGGATTTGGTCTCTCAAATTACTTTTCATTTTATAATATATTTGGTCTCTCAAATTACTTTTCATTTTATAATATATTTGGTCCCTCAAACTATTTTCCATCATTATAACAAATTTAGTCCCTCAAACTATTTTTTTTTATTTTTTATGATAAATTTGGTATTTTCCTCAACTTTCATTTATATGATTAGTCTCTCCGTTTAATCAATAAAATTTGATGACACAAACATATGTTTTGAAGCGTAGATTTTGTCAGTAAATATTTTATTTTTTAAAAAACATTACTTACATGAAACCCTTAACTCAAGTAAATTATAATTTTAATAAAATTTTTGTTTTGACTATTTGAAAAATTAAATTAAAAAAAGTTTTAGAACTAAATACCTAACAATATATTAGATAATAAGA